TGATTTTTACCTCTACCGCTCTTTCAGTAGATCTAAAGCTATCTCCCAATAGCTAAAGCCAACGGCCTCTGCTCTACCTCATTGACTTCTACGGAGTTGATCACTCCCTTCTTTAAATGCCTTGACTCTGGTTTACATGACATTCTTTTTTACATAATTCATCCTCTTCTCACCCTTAAAATACAGCCATGGCTCCAGACCTTCTTAAATATTTTTGTTTTGCTATGTTTTTTATTCACCTTCAAGGATTCAACTATCACCTCTACAAAGATGACTCCTAAAGACATATAGTCCTAACCTCTCACCAAACTCTGGCATCACATTCTCAATGTTCTGTTGCTCACCAATTTAGCTGGAAACAACACCACCTTCCCTCCCTGTATCTGAACAACTCTCAAACTCCTTGCAGTATTATTTGGTATTTTTCTCTCCATTCCTCCTAGTATATTTATGCTCTAGTTTTCTCTGCTTTGGTCTATTGTGATAACAGTGTACTTATTAAGAGCCCAAACTCTTAAAGATAGACTACCTAGGATTGATTCTTGCCATGTCACTTACAGCTGGGTAACCTTGTCCAAATTACATAAGTTCTCTGTGCCTTAGTTTCCGTATCTGTAATGAATATAATAATAATAGTTACTTTATAGGGCAAATGCATGTGTGTATGTGCATGTGTGTACTTTGCCTGGCACATACCAAGTGCTATATAAATGGTAGCTATTAACATTATAATCTTTTAACTGGTCTTCCAAACTCCAGATTTGTTGACTATAATCCATCCTAAACACTAACTCATCAGATCTCTGTTCTAAAAGTTGCAACTTCTAAGCCTAAAATCAAGGGCCAGTCTAACACAAACTGACAAAAATGGACTACCTATTATTACACAAAACCAAGCACACTCTCTCAAATGCAGAGCAGCCATGTCACCTAACTCCAGGGAGCAAGATTTATTGCCACATGTCAAAATCTCCCTATCCATTCTTTGTGATACATTGAGCTGTATACTTTTCATTTTTCTGTGTTGTGTTATGCTTCAAGTTTTTAAAAATCTCACATATGTCATACACGTCAGTGTTGAGTCTGGAACATCTTTCCAGACTTTTAAATAAACATACAACTAAAAAAAACCCCAAAATAGTACCTTCTACATACTACACCATGTTTTATTTTACCTAACAACATACGGAAGAATAAAAATGTATGTAAACACAACCCAAAAGTAATGCACAATCATCACCCAAAACCCCCCCCCTACTATCTATCCTTAAGTGACTCTTCAGCGTGAGAAACAACTCTAAATTTAATGAATCAAAGAGCCTCAGACCTGTGAAAGCACAGAAATAGACAATGGCTAATCTGATTCAGAGGAAAAAAGAAACCACAGAAGGGGCATCCAAACTCATAAGGATGGTAGGATGAAAATAAAAGTTTAAAAAGCAAAAAAACAAATTAAAAACAAACAAAAATTCAGGGAACCCATAAAAGTAAAGGGAAAAAAAAAAACTAACACAGCCTTAAGCTCAGCTGAGTGAGACTATATTCAAAGTGTAAAAGTAGAATGTGGGTAATAAATAGATAGGACCGTAGGTACCTTCAGAATTCGAAGATAAGGTCAGCCTCTGAGATTAGATGAAGAAAAATTCAAGTTAACGAACTAACATGAATAAATTCAACCATCTGTAAAAGTAACCTACCCTAAGAAATGCTCTGTCAATAAATACATGGCTGAGGAGACTAGGAAAGACCCAATCAATCAGGGTGATCAAGGAGTTAAGTTTCTGAAATGCATAACTGATGTAAAAAACAAGCTATAATTAAATCAAATGAATGTATAAAGTCCGTAAATGAGAAAATATTCCAATCACAAACGTACGTTTCATTTTTAGTATTGGTGGGCTTTGTCAGCACTAATACATACATTACCCCTCAAGATTATCCATTTCTTTTGATCCAATCCCATGTTCACCAAGGAACACTCTGACCATAATTTGGTCTAGAGGCTTTACAGAAGAGAGGAGTACTATGTCTCAAAAAGGTATAATCTCTACTGGAAAGCCTGGCCTAGGAAAAAAACTCTTTCCACCGTACAACATCCAGCGGAGTGTTAATTGCTCAACCACTACACACCACTGACACAACACTTATGGCAAACAGTCTCTGTACGTTGCTGTTAGGTCTCCTCCGCTAGACCAAGGTCCTTTAGAGCAATGACAACCAATAAGAAATATTTCTTATGCACCTATTATACTCTAGGTTCTGTTTGAGGTTCTGCGAATACACTGCTGAACAAAAGGTCAAAATCCAGATTCCTATGGAGTTACATTCTGATTTAGGGAGAGAGAAAAATATCTAAAAAGTAGGAAATTATAGAATATGTTAGAAGGTGCTAAGTGCTATAGGAACATGAAGCAGAGTAAAAGGGCATGTCAATCAGAGTGGTTTGTAATGTTAAATAGGGTGGTTAGGGTCACCATCAATGAAAAGGTGGAATTTTAGCAGACTTGAAAGAGACAGATTCCTACGTTCTCCTAGGTAGTACTCGCAGTTCTGTGGCTTATATAAAGGTGAATTTGAACAAGTTATTTAAGTCTCTGTGCCTCAGTTCTCTCATCTGCAAAACAAAGGTAACCACATCTACCTCATAATGTTATGAGGACTGAGTTAATACTTGTAAAATTCTTGGAACACGTTATTAAACACTGTCAATAAATACATGGCTGAGGAGACCAGGAAATACCCAATCAATCAGGGTGATCAAGGAGTTAAGTTTCTGAAATGCATAATTGACGTAAAAAACAAGTTTCTTTTCTGAGGTTTTTTTGTTTTTAATTAAAAAAAATGCAAAAGGTAAAGGAACAGGTCATGCTGATATCCAGGGGAAGAGTATGCCCAACAGAGGGTAGAGCAGTGTAAAGGCCCTGGTATTCAGAAGCAGCTGGGCCAGGGAGGCTCGAATAGACTAGGTTTTGCAAAAGAAAGAATGCAAGAGGATGTCATTATAAAGGGAAGGGGCTAGGAGGGCATAAGGCTGCTCCCAAACTTTTAAACTTTGACTGTTAGATAGGGATTTTTGAGCAGAGGAATAATCAACTGTTTTGACTTTAAAAAAGATCACTCTGTAAGCTATATTGAGAACTGACTGCTGGGGGGCAGGGGGGTCAGTCAAGAATCTATTTTAATAATCCAGGCAAGAGATAATGGCTTGAACCAGCATGGCAACAATGGAGGGGAGCTAAGAACTTGTCAGATTCTGAATATATTTTGAAAGTAAAGGGAACAAAATTTGCTAACATGAAACGAGAGAGGAGTCAAGGATGACTCTAAGGTTTCTGATCTGAAGAAATGGAAAGATGGAGAGGCCATTAAATAAAATTGACCATGGTCTTAAGAGCCGACAATGACTGAGTTCTAACTACATGCCAAGCGTTCAGGTAATCTCCTTACACGCATGAACACATTTAATCCTCACTACCCACGTGGTGGGTATCACCCCTTTTAACAAATGTAGAAACCTGCTGATGCTTGGCAAGCTGAGACAAAAAAACCTAACAGTTGTTTTAAGTGCCGGTTACTTAAGCAGTATTCAGTACATCATTACAGTCACAGGACCTAGCATCGTTCCTGAAGATGATAAACAGTCAACGAATATTCACCGAAATAATTAGCTTTTCTGAACATGAGCTAGTAAGTCAAGTGACCCGAGTTCAGTGCAGAAGTGTCTGGCCCCCCGAGATGTCTACCAACTTGTGCATGTGACTGAGAAACAGCTCTTGCAAGTCAGGAATTTGTTTTTTCAATGCAGAAGCACCATGTCAGAGACTGAACAGACTCTTTCACTCCCTTCAGTAGAGGAGCGACTAGGATGGGGCATCTACAACAGATACCGACAGCAAATTTCCTACACGGATCCCTCCCTTCACTATGTTTTGTCACTCTGCCATCCCTCCCCCTGGTCTCTCATTCTGACTTCCCAGTTCCTAACCCTCCCTCTCTGGTCCTATTTTTCCCACCCCCATCCCCAGCCTCCCTCCAACACAACTATACTGCTTCCTGCTGCCTTCACTTGAACGGGGCTGCTTCCTCAACTTCTCCAACCCATTGTTAACACTGCCCCCTCCATCCGTGCCTCTCCCAGCAGCTGGGGTGGGGAGGTGGAGGGACTCTCCCTCAGCCTTAACTCGGCCAATCGCAAATCCCATCTGGACTTCAGACCTAGACGGAGAAGCCCTTCTTTCGAGAGGACTTGACTGTTCCAGCCCCTCGGAAACTTCCCCTACAGACACTGTTTATAACTGCAGCAGGATGTAACAGGAAGGGAAAGGTTCTGGGGGCAGAGAATCCAGGCTCCGATTTCAGATCGACCACGGACTGACTACCTTCTTGAGTCCGCTTCTTCCTCTGTAACGCCGATACCCTAACTATCCACCCTCGTGGAGCTGACACGGGGCTTCACGTCGGTCCCCATCCCTCACCTTGTGCAACCTGGTATTATGCACTGTGCTCTTATTCCCGAACCTCTCCGGATCGTAAAGGAAGGGCGGGGAACCTGAATTACAATCTCTATTCCCGTGGCCCCGAAAAGATTCATCTCGCATACAGTCTGTAAAAGCGTGTGACACTCGATTGATGGGGACCTCGCGCGGGAGCCTGGGCGACTGACTGGCGGAGGGAGGGGAGGGAGGCGGGGGGCGGGGCAGCCCCAACCCCAGGCCCGGCCTCCCACTGCACTCCGGCTCCGAGGGCTTCGCTTTCCCCCTGCGTCCAAGTCGGCAGGAACGCACGGCTCAGCCCTCTTCCAGGCAGCCCGTCTCCTCACCCGCCCCGCACCCCTCGGGGCTCCGGTGGAAGAAGCTGCGCTTTCCCTCGTCCTCGATCCCGTTCCTCCCAGCCCCTCCCCCCAACTGTCACCCCAACCGCGCCGCCCACCCCCCAGGCCCCACCCGGGCAACGGGTCCCCCAGGCCCGGCCCTAGGGGCCCGCCCCAGGCCGGTACTCACGCCCGCGGCGGCCGCGGTGACGGCGGACTGCCCAGCGGCGGTCGCTGAGCGCAGCCGCCTCCGGCCGATCTGCTCCAGGCTGAGGAACTCGTTGGACAGGTCCAGGGAGTCCGTGGCTGAGGCGGCGGAGTGGCTGTGCAGCTCCAGGCTGCTGCGGAGGACCACCATCTTCTGGCCGCTTCGCCCGGCCGTCCGCGGCGGGAGATGGGCCCGAGCTGGGGACGGCAGCCGCTCAGGCTCTTCCGCGCTCCGAATTCTGGCGCCACAAGCTCCGCGCCAGCGGCCGCAGCGCGCGCGCCCGGAATCCCTCCGCCGCATGTCCCGCCCACGCCGCCACCCGACACTCGCAGGCTCGAAACTTTCCTTCCATCTGTAGAGGGAAGGACTTCGGGCCGAAGTTGAGGAGAACCTGCACCTCCAGTGTCGAGCACCTGAGCGAACAGGGGCGGGAGAACGCTGACTTCTTTTTCTTACATAGTTCCGGCTCGCGGAGCTCGGCGGAGGGAGACGGCGGGTAGCGGACGTGGTCCCGTTTGGAATTTTGGCGCGTGGATGGCGGAGGGGGAGGGGAGGCTCCCGCCCGCTCTGATTGGCTGGCGGGGGTCTGGTGGCCCCTCCCCGCCCCTCCCGACACCTGCCTGCCGTTTCCCGCCCTGCAGGGTTCAAATGCAAAATGCCGAGTCCTTGACTGGAGGGGGAGAAAGCACTTGGCCTTTGACAGTTTTTGACTTTGATCCTTAACAGCTTTGTACTGATAGCTTAACCAAAACAAGTTAATACCAAAAGAAAACAGAAAAGGAGCTAAAAGCAAGCTGGCAGAGCACTATAGTTAAGAACACAGGTTCTGTACCCAGCGCTGCCTTATCCCACGCAGACGATCTCGAGCAAATTATTCCCCTCTCCAGGTCTTACTTTCCTCATCTGTAAATTAACTCTAATAATAATACCTCAAGTTCTAAAATATAATCATACCTAAGAACTGTGTCTGTATGTATGAATGTTAGCTACGGTTACAGAAGTACAGAAAATGGCTTCTCTAAGATTACAGCGATTACCTGACAACTTTGAAATAGACAACGTGCTGAATGATCGCAATGTGAAAGGAGTCTAGTGAAACAGAAACAAAAGCTATTTGTTATAGAACTATGTACTGGGGCTTTGGGGAGAAAAAAAAAGAGGAAGATTGGCAACAGATGTTAGCTCAGGGCCAATCGCTGCTCACCAAAAAAAAAAAAAAAAAGTTATTGATTTGGATGACTACGTTTCCTTAATTCGATAAGTACAATTCCTTAATTCAATAAATTAAATATTTATTGAGCATCTATTATGTCCCAGGCGCTATTCTAAGCACCGGGGAGGCAGCAGTGAACAAAAAAGAGCAAAAGTGCCCTCATAGAACTTGAATCCTGGTGGAAGGAGGAAGACAATAAATTAAATGATATATTTTTTAAAGGTGCTAAGTGTTACACAGAAATATAAAAGTAGGGAAAGAGAAGGGAAGCGTGAAATTTTAAACAGTGCGATTAGGGAAGGTATTTCTGGGAGAAGAGAGATGCAAGCAGAGGGAAGGGGAGGACAGGGAAGCCAATGAGATCAAAGAGGAAACAGTGACGAGGAGTAGATCCTGCAGGGTTAAGGGCCTCAGCTTTAAGGTTTTTTACTTCTTCTTGTAAGTGAGATGAAAAGGCATCGCAGAGTTTTGAACAGAGGAGTGACATTCTGAGTTTTCGAAAGAATCCCTCTTGCTGCTGCACAGAGAATGCAATATTTGGGACATACTTAGACTAAAAAGAATTTGTTGCTTATCTGGACTTAAATTTCAACTGGGTGTCCTGCATTTTGATTTGCTAAGTCTGGCAACCCTAGTTAGGAGACCATTGCAATTATCCAGGCAGGAGATAACAGTGACACAGACCAGTGTATGAGCAGTGGAGGTAATGAGAAATGGTCAAATTCTGGGTATATGTGGAAGAAAGAGCCAACTGAATTTGCTGATTAATTGGATTTAGGCATGAGAGAAAGAGAGGAGTCAAGGATGACTCCAATGTTTGTTTTCCTGTCTGTTTTTTTGCTTGAGCTAATGGAAAGATGAAACCACCTGACTTAGATGGAGACAGCTATGGCTAAAGCAAGTTTGGAGGGAATATCAAGAATTCCTTTTGATGTGCATTTAAGACATAGAAGTTATTGTATATTCTGCACTTAAAATTTGGCCTTTTAAGGGGCTGGCCTGGTGCCTAGTGGTTAAGTTCGCGAGCTCTGCTTCGGCAGCCTGGGGTTCACATGTTTGGATCGCTGGTGCAGACCTAGCAATGCTCATCAAGCCATGCTGTGGCAATCCAAATAAAACAGAAGAAGACTGGCGCAGATGTTAGCTCAGCAACAATCTTCCTCAAGCAAAAAGAGGAAGATTGGCAATAGATGTTAGCTCGGGGCTAATCTTCCTCACACACCCACAAAAATTTGGCCTTTTAAAAAGTTTTCAAGAATGTCTGCACCATCTTGTTTATCGGAGCATTGTTTGTGATGTGAAAAAACTGCAAACAACTTGAATGTCCTTCAGTGGGGCCTCACTTAAGAATGCTATATAGTCATTAAAAATTATGATGTAGGGGCCAGCCCCATGGCCAAGTGGTTAAGTTTGCACACTCTGCTTCAGCAGCCCAGGGTTTCGCCGGTTTGGATCCTGGGCTCGGACCTAGCACTGCTCATCAAGCCATGCTGAGGCAGCATCCCACATACCACAAATAGAAGGATCCACAACTAAAGTATACAACTATGTACCAGGGGGCTTTGGGGAGGAGAAGCAAAAAGAAAATATTAAAAAAAAATTGTGATGTAACTGTGTTAATTTAATTATATGGAGAGTTGTGCACAATGCACTGTAACTTGTTAAGAAACTACAAGGAAATAGGTATCATATGGTTCATCTTTTTTTTTTTTTTAAAAAGTATATGCGTATACTTGCATTGGAACCCAGAAGAAACAACAACAAAATGGTAATGGTTAATTTCTGGATGGTACTATGGTTGTGGCATAGTTTCTTTGCACTCTCTCAATCTTTCTGATTTTTTTTTGCATTGAATGTATATTACTTTTACAGTAGGAAAGAACCTTTAAATGATTGTTTGCTCACTATAAATGAAAGAGGAAAGAACAATATTTAAAGTAGCATAGTCTATCCTTATGATATGTTTACTTTTCTTTATGCATATTATACCTCAATAAAAATTTATAAAAAGCACTTCCACCCAAAAAGCATATGCATTTGTAATTTTGTTAGCTATTACCAAATTGACTGCCATGGAAGTTACAGCCATCACTTTAGTTCTTTTAAAATAAATAAAGAAATAGAAATTTCAGAACACCAAGAGGCAGAACCATCCGAAAGGTTTTCTCTGTTCCTTTATTCTCCCTCTAACAATATTAAGAATTAGCACACTTGTTTCAACCTTTGTTTGGTGTAGTCGGTTGATTTGTGTACCCCAAAGGATACGTCCATGTCCTAAACTCTGGTACCTGTTCATGTGATCTTATTTGGAAATAGGATCTTTGTAATTAAGGGATCTTGACATGAGATCATCCTGGATTTATATGGTGGACCCTAAATCCAATGACTGGTGTCATAAGAGAAAGGAGAGGGAGATGTGAAACACAGAGAAGGTGATGTGAAGATGCAGGCAGGAATTGGAGTGATGCTTCGATAAGCCCAGGAACAGCAGGGATTGCTAGCAACCACTGGAAGCCAAGAGAGGTACAGAACAGATTCTCCCTCAGAGCCTACCAGAAGGAACCAACCTTGCTGACCCCTTGATTCGGACTTCTGGCCTCCTGAACTGTGAGAGAATACATTTCTGGAGTTTTTTTTTTTTTGAGGAAGATTAGGCCTGAGCTAACTACTGCCAATCCTCCTCTTTTTGCTGAGGAAGACTGGCCCTGAGCTAACATCCGCGCCCATCTTCCTCTACTTTCTACATGGGACGCCTACCACAGCATGGCTTTTGCCAAGCTGTGCCATGTCCGCACCGGGGATCCGAACCTGCGAACCCCGGGCCGCCGAGAAGCAGAACGTGTGAACTTAACCCGTGTGCCACCAGGCCGGCCACCGTTTCTTTGTTTTTTTAAGACAACTAGTTGATGGTAATTTGTTACAGCAGCCTTAGGGAACTTAAAGAGTTGGTCTGGAACTGGTCTTCAGCGGGTGAAAGTTCTTTCCTTTTCTGAAGTCTTAGCTATTGTAGATAAGAATGACTTGATTTAGGAAAAGAAGAGGCAGTAGAAACTGAGGTTCTTTCCCCGAACCCCTGACTACTTAAAGTGGATCAACTGTTTTTACCTTATGTGAGACAGAAATCAGGGCTGAAGTGAGAGCTAATCCTAAATCCATTACCTCATTTGAGATGAGGTCATAGGTGGGTCTCTTTCTGTTCTTTGGTAACAATGTTAAAAAGTAAACATCAATTTGGACAGGGATTTCTTTCAAGAATGTTGTAAATGTGACCTTAAATCCATTAGCTAATCTCGTGGATTTCCCACAAAAGGGGAAAACCATTAATCACATGCAGGTGGGGGGATCATAGTTGCCATTTGCCATTGAAACAGACACCTCTCCTATCTGAGAGATTTTCTCTTTGTGTGGTTTGGGTTAAACAGGGGATGGCCTCCTTTGATGGAAATCCTACAAGGACAGATACTTCATTTCCCAGTTAACCTGGCAGTTAGGATTCAGGCGTGTGACCGCAGGTCAGAGGGCTGCTCCCACCTCGGAATTCATTGCCTCTCGAAGGAGTGACCTAAAGATGCACGGCTGCTTAATCGTGGTGGCAGCAGCAGAGGTTACAGAGGTAGGGGCATTAACGGTGGCATCCTCACCAGCTGATTCTTGGAGCATTGATCAATGTGACTTGGTTGTGCTTCCTCCCCTCCAGGCCCCGCTCAACCTTCCTTCTCCGCCATCTTTTCAGTAAATTTGATTTTCTGTTTAAGTTAGCCAGAGATGATTTCTGTTGTTTGCAACCAAGAACTCTGACTGGTATACAGCCTTCAGGTCTGAAAGGGAAATTTCACTAGTGGTTTCCTAGAACGGACACTGACACAACAAATGCTGGAGGCCGCGTGAGACAGACACCCCTTCCAGAGCTGAGGAATGAAGGGTCAGGAGAGAAGGTACATGGGCACAGGAAGTGAGCTGGGAAGATATCTTATAATTTTATGATACATTTTTCAGATTTACCCTCTTTGTTAGCCTCCCCTGAATATACTTCAGTTTCCCAATTTTCCCATGCAAGGTGTGGTACACAGCCCTGAGTCTAACTCCAGGGGCATGGGCTGGCCTGTGCAGAGGGCCCTGGGACTTCTGCCTTCCTCCCATCCCATTCTAAGTAAGACAAATAATAACAGGCATTCCACCCCAGCCCAACACCCCCCACATAGTGAGATGCTCCTCCCCAAAGTTCCCTTAATACTTTGCTGCCTTTTATCCCTTTAACAGAGGAAAGTTGTAATCAGATAG